TTGGGGGCGGAGCCTGCTTCGAGGTGGGCGGAGCCAGACAAAAATTCTGTAGAACGGTTCCAGAACACTTCAGACACCGGAAAAAAGTGGAGTACAGAACAAAAGGCGGATATCAGTTGAGTCTAGAAATATGTGAAAGAAAATACGCGCGGCGAAGCCGCGCCCGCCCGGCGCAGCCGGGCCGTATCAGAAGGAGGCACGCCGGCGTTAGCCGGCGAGCCGACTGGTATACTGAATAAGACCATATGTACTTTTGATCCAGTTGATCTTAAACCATTTCAAAAGTCCCTTTCCCTGTAGCACGTAGGAACGATATGCTAACTTGGCAGACGAAGATAACGTTTCGAAGTGGGATCCGATAGTTTTGCGTCGAATGTCCCTGTATGCAACTGAACCTACAAAAAGGCAGAAACTTTTTGATCCCTATCAAAATCCTCTCTTGGACAAATGTCTACCTTCCTCCCTCTCAATCTAAACCCAAGTGCATGTACGTTTAGGCCAGCTTGGAATGCTCGCAATTTCCCACAACGGTACGGTAGCTGGTCCTGCAACGAAGCTAAGTACTGTAGTTATTCGAAAAATTCCGGTCCTACACTTCGTGGCTTGTGGAAACGACACATCGACAGCTGGGGGCTAATATTATAGTCTCATACACCCTCAATGTGTCTGAGCGTACCATGTGTCTTTAAGTCAAAATCGAAATGATGTCCAACTTTGCATCGCAACAGCGTGCGTTGTGAAGCGATAACACCCATGAGGTGCTCGAAAACTAATAAGAATCACAGTAATAATGCTGTATATTTTTGATCTTATACGTCTCTCTATAAAAAGAACGCCTATCAATAAATATGACAGAACTTTCCTGCCAACCTAATGGTTCTCCTCCAGCAACCAACTGAACAAGCATAATAGACATAAGAACTGGAGAAGAAGGTTCACAAAAGTATCATTTTCTATCCTTAAATCTATGCTTTTACCGGATTCGGACATGCTGTGAGTCCCGATGCGCTGCAAGACCTCCCACCAATGAAGTCTTCAAAGCAACTTCCGCGTTTGTCAGTCATTGGAGTTGACGTCAAAGGGCCTGAATATGATTAAGAGTAATCCAAGAGAGTACAGTCTCTACGACAACCGACCTCCATGTTCATCGGAAACGGAATTAGGAATTCCGAAAGAACTGGTTGACATGGCGTCCACAGCGAACTCTTCGTTTACCGCAACTTCATCGACACCCAAGTCTTCGTGCTGAACACATCGGAGACTCTGCTACTCTGATTCCATCTTAAGTAACACTTTTCTAAAATACCTTTATAGGTCCGGCACAGCAGTCATTCTCTTCCTTCACTAGTCTTCCACGACCAATATTTTCAGAAACAGTCGCTTCAGTTGTGGCGACCGCGGACTGGTGCTGCTGAGAACAGAGCAGTTGAAACATGAATTATAACAGCAATTAATTCTGCAGTCAAGCAGTTTATCTCGGGTTTAGTTCAGAAGTTTCGAGGTGAGGTGCTGCACGCAAACCACTCCGGTACTCCTAACCGGCGGACTGGATGTGGCACTCTGACGTCAGTCAATAGGGACATGGCGGTTTCCGTCTTCCTTCGTTTATTTGGTGTCCCTCTCGACAAAAAAATAATGTTTTATATCGTATCAGGTCAAAGATCGCCATCAAATCCCGCATGATCCACTCACATGATTCGATGCCAAAGTGATGGCTCAAATTGAAAAATTGAGTCGAGTAGGTGGGAGTACTTGCTGGCTCGAGCGCCTGGCGCGTCTCAGATGTTCTGAACTACACTCTGCTTCCCTCTTCGTGACCGTAACTATCCACTTCAAGCGCGAGATACTAAACGTAAACATTCCATTCAGTACTGGCTATACGAGAAGTTGACATTTGGATTATCACTCTTGACAGTGACACAAAGCTACGTTAGCGAGCAGCTACCTCTAGGTTTCCGTAGAAGGGTTGAGAAAATACTGCTTTTCGTTAACTAGTGGCAGTTCACTGGCTGTTCATGAGGAAGGCCGTATAAACAAGATTTAATAACCTTGCGCAAGATTCTCACGCGGAATGAATGCAATTACAGCCAGATTCCGTTCCACACTCAATATGCTACTGCTGCGAAAACGCTTTATCGCTACTCGGTCGATACAGTATTAATTAGCGGTCTGTTTCCGTGTTTTGATGCTTACTGCAAGTTCCAGTTATTGCCACCGAAGGCAGTCGGTGTCTGTTCGCTGCGCCTGGGTTTGACGCGGCGCCAGACTACTTCCTAAAAATCGTTGCGACTTGGGGCCTCCAGAGAGTCTTGGAAAAGGGGCTGGCATTGCGCACCAACTGACACTTCAGCGATAACGGCTGTAACCTTTAGATTTCACTGCCCAGAACGACATTATGACCTGATCGGGTGGATGACTCGTCGGCTACTCTATGAACTACCTTCGCACAAAACACCTTCAGACTCTTTATTCAATTGCATAGCACTCTTTGTATGCCCATAAGCATAAACATGATTCGAACTTACGCCTTCCTTATTGCCGCATGCACCATAGAACCCACTAAACGACTTGACACGGCGGGCACAAGGTTGTCGCGCGGAGCTTTGCAAGTCAGCCAAAATAGGAACTTCCATGACAACAGAGCGATAGCCAATATGTTGCTGAAAAATTGGAGAGTTTAGTACTATGATTTTCAGACCATAATTCGCAATTGTTTCTCACCAGTATATGCTTGATATCAACCCCCTCCTCCTGAAGTTCCTGAAGATTTGTATCATATATGTTAATTTGAACATAAGAAGTGCTTTTCCAAGAGGACGTGTTTATAGGAAATACAGTTCGTCCTCTCATTGCGACAGCGAAGAACGGAGTGCTGTGCTAATTAGCGGTTTCCTGCAGAAGAAAACCAGTACAATCACGCATATAGAGGATATGAAGCAAAAGAAGAAAGAGAATTGAATAATAGAACAAAAGAAAATTCAGAAGTAAAATATAAAAAAGCATTTGATGAAAAGGTGATGGTGAGCTCTGTGGACAGTCACCAGCTTTTGAATGTTATGATTGAACATAGAAACTCATAAGAACTAAGCAACTCTGACAATATTGAGCGGAAAACGACAGCAGCTCAAGAAGTCATTAAAAAACCTGGCTAATTGAAAATTCATCGGCGGTTCTACAGCTTGATCTTTATAACAGCTCGATACTGAGGAGAAGGAGAATTGCAACAATAACAAAAACAAAAACTGGAGTTGCCATGATGAG